CGGCACGGCTGCCTGCTCCAGGGGGGCGCCCGCTGACCCCGCCCGACGCGCATGCTGGGTGGGTCGGAGAGCTCTGTCGGAGCTGTAGCTCAGCCTGAGAGCGTGTAGGTACCTCGTCTAGGATCAGCCATGCAACTTAGAATAAAGTTTTTCAGAGTTTAAAACAGGAGCAGCAGGGGCTAATTATCTTCTGACCTTGGTAAGGTGTTGACATTGTTGGGAAGATTATTATTTCCTGAAATGCTTGAGCAATTCAGGCAGTATCTTGGCAGCTGAGCACAGCAGAGTGCTCCCGGAGTGATGGCTGAGCTGCAGAAGGCATTGGAGCCAGGGTGTTGGGTTACGTGTTGCATGTACCTGCTACTCTGAGACCTTCTGCTGCTTATTCCCAAGGTGTACGTGCTCCCGCCTGGGCAGTGGGTCTGGCTGATCCGTTTCACAGCACGGGAGATTGCTCCTTATGTGTCCTTGTTAATTTTAAGGCTGTAATGGAAATAAAAGTCTGGAGCTCGGGATTCTTCAGAGGGCTGTTGGAAAGGAGATGTGTTACAAGGCTACACGTGGTTACACTTGGCACTGGGGCACTGCTAGGAGGGTAGTAGAGGTGAAATGGGCCTGAAAGGGGAAGGGGAATTAACAGCTGTTGTTGGGTCCCACAGTGCTGCTCAAGAGGAGTTGTGGCTGAGTGCTACGGCCTGTGATGTCTTTAAAAGTGTTTGCTGTATGGGACAGATTGAAGAGATTATCTGAATGTCGTTGGGAGGACATTGTGGCAGCATGCTGAGGGTTGAGATCGCAGTGGGGCTTGTGGAGAAACACGGGTCCCCTGGCAGGAGGAGGGAGGGAGAGACACTGCAGTCAGGAGGTTGTTGTGGTCCGTGCTTGTGTTAACCAAAAAAAGGACTTTGCCTGTAAAATGCCTGTAAAGAAGGGAAGTTACCCATTGCAGTGCAGTAACTGATTTGCTTGGAGAAACAAATCATTTGTATCAGCCTGCTCAGATTCTTAAGACAGTGGAGGGGGAGAGAAGGAGATGATTGTCAGGACACAGAGCAGGGATGGCGTCTGAAATAAACTCCGCTAAAACTGATCGTCAAAGCCTCCCAGTGCAAGGTTCCCCTAGAAACGGTCCTGTTCGACGTGCCGCATTAGTGCTGGCAGGCAGTGGGCAGTGATTCGTGGCTGCCAGGGCTCTCACTGTGGAAGCGGTGGTGGTGACGAGGCCTTGGGAATGTCTGTTCTGCACCTGATGAGTCACTTCTGCGTGAACGTGGCTGGAGCTGGCAGAGATGGTCTCTCTGGTTGTATTCTGGTGTCTGCAGTGGGAGCGTTAACTACTTCGTTACTCGCTTTGGCTGGAATACTGTTTATGCACTGTCCGTAGGAAGTGGGATTTCATAAGCTGCTTTGTGGTGCGTGGACGCAGCCTAACTACCCTGTGGTGAAAGAGCCTGTGGCTGCGCTACAGAACGCAAAGAGGAGGTTTGTAGGTACCTCAGTCTAATGCTAACAGTGTCTTGGAGACCAGCACTGTTTTCCATTGTATCTGCTTGTGATTTGCCTTATTTGGCCGGTTGTAGCGAAACGCACGTGCACACCTCCCACCAGTGTGCTAGTTCAGCTCAGCTGCTCAATAAACATAGCTCCAGCAGTTAGATTTGCCTTTATTTAGTGCATTTGTCAGTGGTGGCTGATGAGGAATCCAGCTGTCAGACCTCTCTGTGGTTCTGAAAGTGATGAAGCCGTGTGAGCAGGGGAGAAGAAAAGGAGCTCTATGTTCTGGCAGACGGTGGGCTTGTGCTAGCCGCTGTGCTTTTCTCTTTGATCCCTACTGAGCTTTGGGGCCAGGAGACAGTGCCCACACCAGCGCCGGGGGAGAGGTTGTTAGTGAACACCCGAGCTGGGAAAAAAAAGGGGGGGGCTTTTCAAGGTGCTGCAGTCGGTGTGCTGGGAGGGGGGTATTGCAGCACAAATCAAGCTTGACATGAGACTTCTTTTCTGATTTCTCTAGCTCGTTCATGTTCCAAACTGTGTTTTGCAATCTGCTGTGAAGATATTTCCTTTCAAGTCCCTCCGGCATCTGGAAGTAAGTACAGGAGGCAGAACTGGCTTTGAGTATTGCTGTTTGGCTTCTCTTGACTCAGTTTTGTAGTTGCAGAATGCTTCTACTCCTAAAAACTGGGTAGGCCTTTGTGGCTTTCGTAGAATAGAATCATAGAAGTTTAGACTTAGCCTTCTAGGAAATTCTCAACTCCTGCAACGCTTGCTTGGGGCAAAGCTCGGATATGAGCAAAGGCTGGTGTGTTAGGAAAAGAGGCTCCAGCAGGGAAATGAGAGATCCCTTGCAGAAACGGGCCTGGGATGGCAGCTGCTCTTACACTGTGATATTTTGATGTGTGTTGTCTTTCTTTTTGCATCATTGCAGTTGAGGTCTGTCCCTCCACACTGCCTCCGGGGACTGCGATTTGTGTATTCTCAGCTGGAATCTCTAACCTGTTGTAAATGTATCAGTACACTGGGGGTGAGTGTCTCTACACAGCTCATGGGGAAAATTGCAGGACAAAGGCTGTCTTCATCCTACAGTCCTTTCACACAGGGAAGATAGGACACTGTTAACCATTGTATGTGACTTTTTCTCCCTTCCCCGTCTGGGGTTCTACTCCTGACACACAGGTTGAAGTATTCCCTGCTTGGATATACATGTGCTCCGTAGTATCCTTGTTAGCTGGTAGAGAATTTCTGGCTCCAGCCACTACTTGTTTCAGCTAGGTCTGACCATTCTGGCTGGCTGGCTGTTTCCATGTTTAAAGGCCTGCAGCTGATCGAGGTTTATTTCATTGTACCGCAGCAGCCTTAAACTACAGCTGACTGTGAGAAGGAATGCTGAGCCCCAGCATCTTACCTGCGCTGGTGCCCAGCAGGCTTCTGTGACCTGCAGGCAAGCTCCAGCTGCGCAGAACTGAGAAGTGTGGGATGTGCTAGCCATGGGGCTCTGGGCTTCAGCCTGTGGCACAGAAGTGGCTGCCTGCTGGGGAACAGGGGCTTTTGGTGGGGAGTGCTTTGAGGGCTGCTTTTGTCTGCCAGAGCACAAGTTGTTTGGTTAGGGTGTGTGTATCTACTGCTTTGCTGGAGGTCTGAAAAAAGCTTTGTTAGCATGAATCTTCCTGCTTGGTGTTCAGAGCCTACGAATCGTAACGTGTTAGGTTAACTATTGCTGCTTGAGCAAAAGCATCTCCCCTCCTTTCTAAGTATCTAGCCATGGAACCCCACCACTTCCAAATACATGACGTAAAAGTCATTGCCACCCTAGGCAAGGCAGGGTCTGATAAGCACAGTATGCCAGCCTTGTTGTAGACTAACTGTTCTCCTGTGTTCATCTGCTGTTACTGTGACAGCTAGTACTCACCAAGGAATGGCTCCTCGCTTCTTCCTAGGAAATCATTTCAGCATGTGGTGGAGATCTGAGCTGTGCTCTCCCGTGGTTGGAACTGCAGACTGTGAACTTCAGCTATAACTGGATCACTGCCTTGGATGACTCACTGGTGAGTGGGGCATCCTTCCTGCATGACTGAGGGGCAGACAGGAGATGAGCACAGCCAGGAGCTGGGCACTCCTTCACGGATGCTGCTAGCTCTGGCTGGGAGGGAGTGAGGAGTGTTAATTTTGCTGGCGTCTCCCAGCAGGACAGGGTTGCCGTGCTGCAGTGGAGACATTTGTAGGATCTGATCTAGTATCTTTTTGTCCTTCAGCAATTACTGAATGCTCTGAGAGTCTTGGATTTGAGTCACAACAAGATCCAGGATTGTGAGCACTATTTAACGGTGCGTATCTGGGGCTGAGCACTGGAATTTCCTGGTATGGAGGGGTCACAGCTGAAGTGCTGTAATCACTGACCACATGCTTGCTAGGTGAAGCGTAACAAAAGCAACTGGAGACGTGGCCCAGCAGGCGAGGGATTTAGAGCTAGTGCTTGCAGCCTTGGAACTCTTGTCCTGTGTGTGCAGCCCCTGTGCCTCTGAGGTAGAGAAGGCAGAGTTTCTCATCCGCTCCAAGGCAGGAAGGTTGGCTGTGTGTATCCCTTGGGGCTGCAGTGTGGCTGAGTGACAAATACAGCGATATGTACAGTGTACGTTGTACATACAGTTGCACACATGGTGTGGACTCCACTGTGGCCACGCCGCTGCTGTAATCAGAGCAGCAGGTGGGAATTGTGTAGCCAGGCATGGGGCTGGAGAGGCTTGCTGTTTGGTTTGTTCAGACTGCCAGTAGCATTTCCCTTGTGCTCTCAGAAATCTCCCATCAGTTACTTTAAAAGGGGTGGTAGTCTGTCACAGTGGCATGTGCACCTCTGGGGAATGGCACTGAAATCCGTGCTCTGCTGGGTTAGATCCGCTGCTTTTAAGAGAAGTGACAAAACAGCTTTTCATGGAGCTGGTGGGGCTCACAATATATCATTTGCCATCATCTTTGGAAAGGTAAGAAAGGGCTTCTTTTGATAGTTCAGTCCTTTTGCTGAGGAAGGGACTATGCTGAGGAAAGGACCTCCTGTGCTCCCCTGAAGTTGATGAGGAAGAACAGCTCCTAGGAAGTTTTGTAAAGTGGGTAGATCATGCTGAGTGCCCCTGGAGAAACCGCTCCAGCGTGAATGTCAAAGTCTGGCTGCAGAAATAGTCTCGAGAAACTCGCTTGTTAGGTGGCCTCGGTGGGATGGAGAGAGTGGTAGGGGCTAGTGCCCTGTCTTGAGTCCAGTGTCAGGCTTTGAGCTAAAGTCTCAGCTGATCTGCTGCTGCTCTTCTCTCTTAACAGACCCTTACAGAAATAGAGTATCTCAATCTGGCTTATAACTTCCTGTCCAAGGTGCCAAACCTCAGCCTCTTCAGCCGATCCAAGCTGGTGACTCTGATCCTGCGCAACAATGAGCTCGACAGCATCAATGGTGAGCCCCTGAGGGAGGAGCGTGTCTGCGCTCGAGGACTTCTCTCTTCCAGAGGAGGAACAGAACTTGAAATCTTGGGCACAACTATTTTTATTAGCATTCAATTTGGGGGGGGGAGAGGGGTAGGTGGGAGCTTCCTAAGTTATATCTTCTAGCATGCTGATGGCTTCTTGCCTTGTTTGCAGGAGTTGAACAGCTCGTGAATCTGCAGCACCTGGACGTGGCCTATAACTTGCTGCTGGAACACTCCCAGTTGGCACCCTTGTCTGCTTTGCACTGTCTAAAAAAAGTAAGCACAAAGCCTGGTGGGATGGTAGATTAGAAATGTCATGGTTAGGGGGTGCAAGGTGGAGACTGGGTGGTAAGAAGTGAGTTTTGAAAGGTCAATTCAACGCTTGGGTATTTCATTTGAATGTGGGACGCTGATAGAATCATAGAATGATTCTGTGATAGGGGAGCCTTGGAGAGACACCTGTACTTCAGCCTTCATTTTCAGTGACTCCTGCTCAAGCTAACCTTTTTCCATGTATTCATCACCACCTCCTTGCTCCCCCTTTCCAATTTTAACACTGTCAAGTTCAGTAAAGATCCTCCCTGCTGTGGATTTGTGTGTTCAGAGGAGTCTGAAGGAGGATAACTGCAGTCACTGTAGAGCTTATGAAGGAAGATAGCCTGCAAAGGACTGTTCTCTCAACACTTTTCAGGGTCAGTGCTGAAAAGAGCCCCTAATGGTTTAGGGGCATGAGTAGGAAGTACTTGAATTTCCTTCTCTTATTTGCTGAACAAATGTCAGGAAGCATTGTAAAAGCTTAGTCCTCTCCCGGCTTGATTACCCTTCCACTGCAAGGATGTTTCCTGAGGCAGAGAGAAGGTCTGGAGCCTGCAGGCAGAATAGGTCAGGGTATAGAATATTGCTGCTAATAACGATTTTTCTGTTTCCCCCACCCAGCTGCATTTAGAGGGAAACCCATTATGGTTCCATCAAAACCACCGATCTGCAACCCTTGTACACGTGTCTCCCAGGGCAGCCTCCTCCAGTGTAAGTACGAGCCACGTGCCTTCTGCCCCTGCTGTGGAAGGTGTCGGGTGTTCTGACACTTGGGGCAAATGAGGGGAAAGAATTTCATAAGCCTGAAAATTTATTCCAGTGATGAGCCTTTTGTAGTTGCTTTTTTTTCCATATAGAGTAGTTTATCCTTAAATTTTTATGTGGTGTGTTGGCCAGGGCAGACAGTTGAATACTAGTCTCAGGTTTGCGAGACCTCAGATCTTAATACGGCTTCACTGTCTGCTTCCTCAGTTTTGCTCACTGATGGTCCCAAAACTTCGCTCTGTTCCTACTGGGTAGGGACTATGTAGCTGGACTTTGCAAAGAAGGAACTCGCCGTCGTGGCCGACCTTGCCTAATTATGCACTTCATTGGCAGCCGTGGCCACCTCCTTCTTTTTCCCCTTCACTCCGCTCTCAGCTAGGTGTTATCACTGTTTCCGTTGCACTCTGGTGCTTAGGTCAGCTCTTGGTAATCTCATTTTAAATAAAGAAGCCAGCAAAGACAGCGTTCTGGCGATTTAGCAAAGTAAAGTTGCTTGCTAAGGGTCAGAGGTGTTCCAGACCTGCTCTGCCCTTCATATTAGTGGCAAATGGCTGGATTCATTGTCTCCAAACTATGTCTTGGAACAAGCTTTCACTGAGCTCAGGTTACTGGAAGCTAGATAGACTCAGGCTAGAAGTAGGGTACAAGCTTTGAGGTGAAAGTGCGCACCTCTCAAAACAGTTCCTGAGTTGCTGCAGAATAATCTATTGTATCTCTTCCACAAACTGTCTTGGATACGTTTCTGGGATTTGTAAAGCTGTATTGGGTCAGGCAGCTACAGCTAAAGCAGTGATGGGTAGGCAGGAACAGGGTTGTTTCTGGTAGTCTTTCCAGTTTTGTGCCAGGGATCCCAGCCCTAGGGTGTCCTGAAGGGGAATAGGAGTCAGCAGATGTTGTCCTGACTATGTGCCAGGCGAATGGAATCTGACTGCAAATGGGTCTCTAATTACAGTTCCTCTTGGATGGGGAGCCACTCTCTTCCTCGGACCTGCTGGTAAGTGCAATTGCTGTAAACTGATCTCACAGGCTTTGGGAGTGGGAACTCTGACAGGTTTTTGCATTGTTGTTTGTCCCATTAAATCTGGATGGGCTGCCTTTACTCTTTGACACAGTTCACTTTGGCTCAGCCCATGCTGATTCCCAGTAATAGTTGGGACTGGGCAGTGTAACTTACTGTGTCCTGTGTAGCCTTGCAGAACTTGGAACCTTGCCTGTTTCCTTTTCGGATACTATCTGGTACTTGACACTTGAATTAACTGTTTTGCTGACATGTATCGGTTTCCCATCTGCTGTTTTTAAGAAAGGCAGAGATCAAGTTAAATCAGAGTGGTCATGATAAACAAGCCAGTCAACCGGGCAGGATCTGTTGTCACCACTTCAACTGAGATGGTGGAAGTTTGGGGTGAAGGGCAGGGAAGTTGTCAGCCCGAGTTATGGCTTGGGTACCTTGTCTCCCCTTTGCACTCAGCAGGCAGTGTTCTCTTCTTTTGGCTTTAGCACCTTCCGAGGCTTGCGCAAAGTGTGTCGCAGTCCATCCACACCTCTACCTCGGAGAGGACCATGCTGGAGCGCAGCGCTCTGGACAGTTCCTGTGCCGCAGACTTCAGCGACAGTCAGTCCCCAGCAGAGAACGTGGCTGTCCGGCTCCCTCGGAAGAAGAGCAAGGTCTGGCATGGAGATAGCTGCTTCAGCCACGTAGCTGACGTGTCGGGTGGAGGGGCAGCCTCGGCGAGAAAGGCTCGTGTGGTGGGTTGTGGTCTGGTACTGCCTGTGTGGTAGTGAGCCTCTACGCCGCTGTGAGTTATGAAGGGGCTGGGCTTACCCTCAGTCTTGATATACTGTGACAAGTGTTTCATCACTGTAACAGCTACAAACCCTTCAGCTTGGCACAGCCCCTCAGCAGATGCTGTTTCGGTTGTTCTGGTGCCTCCGAACTATTCTTGTCCTGTTTGTTCCAGGGAAAAGTTAAAGTGCGCAGAGCGAGCATTTCAGAGCCCAGTGACACAGAACACGAGTCCCAGGCTTTACCTCTCTCTGCTGGTGAGGCTTGTCGTCTTCCTCAGGCACGTGGCCGCTGAACGGCCCACAGTCAGAGGATGCTCTGGCGTGGTGACTGCTTTCAGGGTTCCCACGTTTTCTCTCTGCAGGCCTGGTCCTACAGCATCAGAAGGAGATGGAGCGCTTGGACAGCTTCAGAGATCGCTTTGGTGTTGACTGGCTGCAGTACAAGAGGCACCTGGAGGAGCCCGACCAAGTGCCTGTCATCTGCCGTAGCCGTTCGGCAGATGAGATCGCAGGCAGACCTGCTGCCATGGACTTGCAGAGTGAGACCTCTGACCCGGAGCAAGAAAAACCCCAAGTATCACAGGAAGAATCCTCCCCTCCTTTGGATGATACTGAGAAGGAGGAAGAGCCTGAAGTACAGCTGGATGAGCCTGTGGAAGAAGAACAGAGAGGAGAAGAGGAGACAGATGAGCTAATGCTGGGGGAGGAGGAAGAGGAGAAGCCAGAAGGTAAGCGAGTCCCTTCACTGCTGTGTTTGAGGGCTTGGGGTATGATAGAATAGATGGATCAAATGTGATATCCCTGAAGCTTTATCCTGCTGCCCAGTATTGTGGGAATTCTAAGGACTTGGGCCAAGCAGGCCTGAAGGGCCGCTGTGTGTGCTGACCTGTATGGTGTCTTGTTTGGCAGTGGACCTTTGCCAGCCAGTGCTGGTGAGCCAGATAGAAGGTGAAGGGGACCCGGAGCCAGACTGGATCTTCCTGCGAGTCACAGCTCAGCATGTGTTTGAGGTGGAACTGAAGGCTGCCCGAGTCCTCCACAAGCTGGAGCTGAAATGCCTGCAGAAGGTGGAGACCTCTGAGATGAACTGGAAGAGGATGGTAAGTTATAACTTTGGTGTCTTTCTACCTGTGTGGGCCAGCATTTGGATTTGGGCTTCTGTCAGATTACCCTGCAGGTCTTTTCCTAGTTCCTCCAAAGCCTGGTGGGTTGAGCATTTCTTCCACGCAACGCGTGTGTATCTAACAGCACCTGCATTGCTTAGAGTATCCAGGATAATGCAGCAGAAGCCAGCGCCAGTTCAGTTCTGAATGCAGTGGAGACCTCCTTCCCATCCATTTCTCACTGGGAAATCGCCCTGGCCTTGCAGGACTACTTGTGGATTGCACTTTTTCTTAGCACAGCACTGAGCCTAGCGTGATGTTTAGAAAGCTACCGGTAGCTCAGCGGGCAATTTTCCATCTGCTCTAGGTGCATTCTTTAGCACTACCAGCCCTATTTTACTTTTGTGGCCCTTCAGAAAGGGAGTTTAGAAATTCCTTTTTCCTCGTGGTAGGATTTTAACATTTAGTGTGTGCATGAACATGTTCACAGGCTTCTTTGGGCTGTTTTCCCCAGAAGCTCCAACTCATTTTTCCTTCCTGCCCTTGTACTTCTTGAATCACAGAAGGGTTTGGGTTGGAAGGGACCTTAAAGATGATCCAGTTCCAACCCCCCTGCCATGGACAGGGACACCTTCCACTAGACCAGGTTGCTCAAAGCCTCGTCCAGCCTGGCCTTGAACACTTCAAGGGATGGGGCATCCACAGCTTCTCTGGGCAACTTGTAAAAAGTCCCCCCCAGCTTCCTTGTAGCCCCTTCAGGTACTGGAAGGTGCTATAGGGTCTCCCCAGAGCCTTCTCTTCTCCAGGCTGAACAAGCCCAACTCTCTGAGCCTGTGCCCATAGCAGAGGGGCTCCAGCCATCAGAGCATCTTTATGGCCTCATCTGGGCTCACCCCAACCAGTCTATATCCTTCTGATGTTGAGGCCTCCACAGCTGGATGTAGTACTCCAGGTGGGGTCTCATGAGAGTAGAGTAGCTTGATGTTCGTCCGAAATACCTTTATGAAAAGGTGTTTTGTTTTAAGTGCTTTGTTCTGGGCCTTGAAACTTACTGTTGTACTCGGCAGTTACAAGCTTATTTATATATTTGTGCCCATTTTCCAGGCTCCCAAATGCTATCAGCTATGGAGGGCTACTAGCTTAAGTGCTTGTATGGCCATCTTTCAGCCAGTTGCAAACAAATGTAGGCTGGATGTCACATCTTCTTTCTAGAACTGGTGTTTTCTGTCTCCTGCAGGACCTGGAGCAAGTTTTCCCTGTCCTGACATTGCACTTCAGCTACATTCGCAAGGACCGGCAGAAGCGCAAATACGTGGTGCTCGACGACTGCCCGGAGCAGTGTCTACAGGTAGGGAAAACTAGCAGGGGAAGCCTGGGCAGCGTTGCTGGAAGACACTGAATTTCCAGCTGTCACAGGGCCCCTGTTCGCGAAGCACATGTCCATCTGCTGCCCTGTGGCAGCCCATGTCTGGCCTGTAAACTCAGGATTTATATCCTGAGGGACCTGTGGAGGGCCCTGTGAGAATGGCTATGGACAGTGGAGCTCCTGGGGCATAAAGGGTGCTCTCAAGGAGAAAGCCTTACCGTTTTCTTCCTCTTGGGGAGAAAATTAGCAGTCAAGTTAGCGATCCTTTGTTATTGTGCACATGCAACGTAATGTTTCCTGGGTGCTGAGTGATGCAGTGGCCTGGAGTTAGCCTCTGGGCAGTGAGACTATCAGTGCTATGGCAGCTCTGCTCTGCACAGCTGCTGTAGTGACTCTGGTCTCAAATCCGAGTGTTTTTCTCGAGGTAACATTTAAGGACGGTTAAATGAATTGTTACAGTGAAGGCACAAATAGATGGGACCTTTGAGACCAGAGTTCCAGGGTCAGTATGTAGCTACAAGGCACAGACCTGCAAAAACAGGTTCTCTTGGTGATCTGCAGTGAAACTCCGTGCCTTTGGCAAGTCTTGCACAGCCTGGCCGTGACACTATGTAAGCTGGGAAGTGGCTCCACACCCCTTGCACTCTGAAATGCTGTGATGAGGCATGTGAGGAGCCTTGCTGATGTCAGAGGCTTGCTTTTATTAGGACGGTTATAGCTGCCTGTTAGCACTCTTTTCCCTGTGTGGCTTCTTCTAGTGTGTCCTTGAAGTGTTGTCCCCAGCTGTGGAGGAGAATCGGCGAAATCAGGACCAGGAAAAGGGATCTATGAAGCTCCAGTGCCTGAAGTGCAAGCAGGAGTTTTCGTGGTCTCTGGCTCCCTGGCATCAAGGTCCCTATCCTACAGAGGTTGGAGATGCCAAAATTCTGGAGACCCTGCTTGCCTCAAATCCAGGTAGGTAGGATGCAGTGCCCAGAAAAATTATGTGTGCTAACGCCCAGGCAGACTGCCAGAATGGCAGCTGTGGTGCAGAGTGTGGAATGGATGGGAGGAGGGGCTGATGCCTTGGCTGTACTGGAATTAAAACCTGTTGTGGGATGTACTCTCACTTGGCCCACTTGGACTGGGAAG